AAAAAAAAAAAAAAAAAAAAAAAAAAAAAAAGAAAAGAAAAGAAAAGAACCCAGCCTTACCAAGTATAGGGGCAGTTTTAAATGACTGGTCTATGGAATACCACTTTGGAAAAAGCACAGTAGCTTTTAAAAAAGAAAAATAAGGGGAAACAAGGAGGTAATATAGACTTTAATAAATTAAGAAAGTACCTATAGTTCTCTGCTTGCCTGTCTAGACAGTCCTCCTTAAACACTGCAGTAAAGTACCCCACAGAACTGGACAAGGGCCAGGAAGTGATAAATAGCACAAAGGCTAGGGAAATATTACTATTTGAGAGACCAGTCCCTTAATGGAACTGCAGGCAAAACAGGAACCCACGGGCACAGAAAAGACTTTTGAATGGAATCTGCTGTCCATATCTGTTTCTACTCAATTATGCATTAATGAGGTTATTTAGATCCCATATGGATTCCTGAAATGAACCCTGATAACTGTAAAATTAGCAAAATACATAGACATCAGACCCTTAAATAATGATCTTTACAAATACTTAAAAATAGATTTAAAAAGACTATTTTTAACTACAAATATTTAAGAACAAATTTTAATATGAAACTCTAGCATGGATTATTATATTGTAAAAAATCTATTCCAAAGTAAGATGACAGCAGGCAATGACCTATGAGAAAGGAAAGCCCTATGTAGACTTTTCTAAGATAACTTAAAAGCCTTTATATTAACCACATTGGATTTTCTATCTAGTGACTAAATGTTCTTTCAAAGAGTTAGTTGGAAAGTGAAATACATCAGTTGCCCAAGGTAGTTTTAGGGATAAAAACACATAGAATATAGAGGTCTGGCTTTGTAGACACATTTGTAATACTATGAGGGAAAGGTCTGATACACACAGTACAACACCACAACATGACCAGCCTCAGAGTCCTTCAGGAGACAGTCCACATCACTATCTGTTTCCTTATTTAGGGATGCAGGCATCAAGGTCAAGATGTATTTTTCTTGCTGTACTGTGTTTTGCTTTTACCTCCAGACCCCTCAAGATTATCTACTTTGGTGTCATTAAATTAGTCCCATCCTAAATTTCTACTGAAGTCCTAGTCTTGAATCAATAAAATGCTATAATTTTATCAGACTCAACATCACATATATTCAACTAAATCAGGAAAACTTGCTATATGCAATCAACCGCAAAATATCAAAGATACAAAAAAAACCACCAAGAATAACACACCTCCTCAAATTCCTCTGTATTTTTCTTTTTCACTAGTATAAAATAATGTGCCTTTATTGACCAAATGATGATGACTGACATGGTTCTTAAAAATGCCGGATAATTGAAGGCTGAATGAAAACTAGGTGTCAGGTAATGATTATTATTAATCCCACTCACAACTATTTAAGAAACAAAATTTTGTAAAGGATTCATCTGTAAGTATAATGTGCCTTTAATCTCTTTCTTCTAAATACAGAAATGATAGTCCAAATTATGAGATTTGAAGAAATCTATTCTTTTGATTCTGAATTAGTGGAACTCCTTGAAAACAGAGAAGGCCAGCACAGGTAACTGGAACACACAGTGAAAACTAACAAATTTATGCCTCAACTGCCCACTCACACTTGGAGATTTCAATGTCTAATGTCCTAGAGATGCCTCCTGGCCTATAAATCCAGGCCAGCATCCTCTAAGCAATGTGCTCAGATGCTGGTATCCACTTCCCTCTCTCCCTGATTTGAAGCTATGTCACAAAAAGATCTGAACAAACGTATCAATCATGGGAGGCAAGCTAAAAACCAAATAACTGCTCACCATCCAAGCAAAGAGCCAGCCCACCAGTCTTCCAATTGCTCAGAGTTGTCCTGTGCTGTTCTAGGCCTCTAAACCATGCCCTGAAGCTTACAAAATATATTATCAAAGCTGAGAACAATAAACCTATATTCCAGTCTTCAGAATCAATTTTTACCCTGCCTTCTATTTAATGCACTTGAACTAGACAGAGGATCGATTAGCCATAAGTCTTTTAGTTTTAGGGTTTTTTGTTTTTGTTTTTTTTTTAAGTGAAAAAAAAAAATCCTCAAGAGTACTGCCAAGAAGCACCCCAGATGACAGCTTCCTTACCAAGTTCCTCAATTGCTGACAGACCGTAAGAATGGAAAGCTATGGACAGATACCTGGCATGGTCAAATTCCAGGAAATAAGTCTTAGAAATGTGCAAGAACCAAGTAGGCAGAGACTCACAAAACCTTTGCTTAACCAAGTAAAGACCAAGTCTGATTGCAATGAAAAATATGGTGCAAATCCCATCCTTTCATTATGGCACAGAGCAGCTCTCTTTTATTGCTACTTTTAAAAAGGCATGATTAATCTAATTCTTTTGAAATGTCCTTCAAGTGGTCAATTTCATAATTCTTTCTCTTTTCTTTCTTTTTAAATTCTTGAACCCAGGAACCTGGGATTTACCTCAGTGGTGTCGTGCCTGTCTCAAAAGCGCAAAGTTCTGAATTGAATTCCCCAGTACTGGAAAAAACATTTTTTTAAATTAAATTCTTAAACCCAGGACCTTGCACATATTATGTCAGTTCCACCACTGAGTTACATCCCCAGCCTCCCAGTAGCTGAGATTACAGGCCTGTGCCACCACCCCTCAGGCTATAAGCTCTTATGGGCTATTTATTGTACTTTGGAAAAAGTCTTAGAGATTGAAAGGCAAATCTATGAGCCATTAACAATTCTTAGTCTATTACCAGTCAGTTTTAGTTGGGTATGGTGGCACATGCCTCTGACCCTCAGCACTTGGGAAACTGAGACAGAAGGATTGCTATGTGTTCAAAGCCAGCCTGAACTACACAGCAAGACCCTGTCTCAAGTAAAAATAAATAAATACTCAGTTTTAAATGTAACTTTCCAACAAATGTACTAAACATAACCACATCCCTACAAACCCAAATATCTCTACCTCTATCTAATAGCTTTGGACCATAAACTATGGCCAAAAGGCATTTGCTAGTAAAGTACAGGGCCTCTCAACACATGCACACCCTCTTTTCCATGCAGTCAGCAGTCACCATAGTAAAAATAGTTATTCACTTACATCTTTCTGGTTGGAGTGGAAAAACCTGAGTGCGAAGTTACAGGATTGGGATGCAGCAGCATACTGACCTAGAGATTCGGCGTATCGGGTCAAAAGATAACTGAGTTGGAAGGAAAGAAAAACATACATGTTTACTTACCCTCCTTTAGTACAAATATTACACTTCAAATTACTATGACAAAGCAATAGCTAAGCATAAAGAACAATTAAAATATCCTGTCATTTAAAATGATCTAGAAAATGAAAGGGATCAAGAGATGGAAGAAAAAAAAGGGATGGAGAGGGGAAGGAAGGGAAAGAGAATAAAAAACAGGAATTAAGATGTGTTATGTACAAGTACCAATTTCCCACAGGGAATGTAAACATTATATACTACAAACATGCACTGATAAGAAATAATCTAGTTTAGAGAATCAAATCAAAAAAGAAAAAAATGGCAAAGTCCATCCTGTTTTGTGGGAAACCCAAAGTTACATATCATGGTTTCTTTGTACACTGCCCATTAATGGAACATAATAGTTGAAACAGTACATAATGCTGTGTTCCTAAAACATCAGAGAGGATAAGGAAAATGTTCTTAAATAATCACAAATATAGCCAAAATATAAATTCAAAAGGACCTGTCACGTCAATAAATGAAGCACAAGCGTTAGCCTCAACTGCGAGGCAAAAGTAAGATTTTAATGTGTACTAAGAATAAATGTTCAAGGGCCGGGGATTTAGCTCAGTGGCACTGCCTGCCTGGCAAGCGCAAGGTCCTGAGTTCAATTCCTGATTCCAAAAAATAAAGAAAGAAAGAATAGACATTCAAATCATACAGCTGGTTGACTGTGGGGTATGGCTCAGTGGTACAGTATGCTTAGGATGTGTGAGGTCCTGGATTCAACTTACAGCACCAAAAGAGAGTGTAGACCTAGTTAGTTGCTGTCTCTGGGAGAAAACTTTCTTACCATTTTGAAATTGTGCAGTTCAAAATAACCACAAAGATACTAGGAAATATGAACTCTACTCTTTACAATGGGTAACAATAGTTTATGATTTAATGTCAGGAACAACTGTCCTGCTAAAATCTAAAAGTGAGAGAGCTCCATGACTCCCACCCTGGTGTAGCTGGCTAATCATTATTCAGAGTATATACTACCAACCCAATGGTGTCATGCTGGATATGTTTAGCATCGAGGCTGGAGTAAAGATCCACCACTGGTTCAAATGCACCCAGCATACAGTAGATTCGAACAAGCAGCAATTTGAATTGAGCATTGGAAGGGCTGTGAGTTAATCCTTCTTCCAGCAGGGTCAGGGTCTGCCACACAGCAGTCTCATCACCTAAAATCAAAATATAGTATAGTATTATCTACTCATCTTGACAGCAACTGGAAAGTTCTCAGAAACAAAACTTATTGCTATCATCACCTACCTTATTCTATGAATAAATTTATATGACAGAAAACAAATTTTAGATAAACACTTGTTACCAAAGTAGAGAACTGTCTAAATACACAATCACATATTTAGATACATGGTTTAGTTCTTAAACATGCCCTTTGTAAAAATGATGCAGGATTTAAGTGGTCAGATCTTGTGGTGGGAAGTTATAGAATTTCATAGACTCCCAGAGCCTGGAAGAGACAGACTTTGAAAGAAAACTGGAATTCACCAGCTTTAACACTGTAGAATTTTCTTCACAAGACTCCAGAGAGATTCTCCAGACACCACTTCTTTCCTATATGTAACTTTACTAACAGGATGTCATATAAAATACTGCTCACTAATAATTAGACAAGGGGCCGGAGATTTAGCTCAGTGGTTCTGCCGCCTGCCTCGCAAACGCAAGGTCCCGAATTTGATCCCCAGTACCCAAATACAATCATCATCATCATCACCATCGTCATGACAAAATGTCATACTTCTTTTGATAACCTACCAAATTATAAAAGGTTACATATATTAATAGCCCTAAACATCAACTTGTCCTGTAAGATCTAGCTAAAGGAAATAAGACACAGAAAAAGCTTTATATATAAAAATATTCATTGTGCTGTCCATTGAAGGGAGGAAGATTAAGAAAATGACAGTAACATCCACACAAAGAAACATCAAATAGCTATTTGACATTAACAAAGTTTTTAATTACCAGGGAAAATATGTGTACAACAATGTTTAATCAACATACAGAAAATTCAAACTAATATTAAGAACTGATCTCAAGTCTATAATATACAAAGAAAAACAGGAGGAAATATGCAAAAATGTTAGCATACCTTAGGGGTCTGGAGAGGTGAGGCTTTAAACTATTCTCCAAAATTTTTACAGGCTATTTTTATTATCACAGTAAAAAGAGCTATCATGAAAAGCCTTACTTATGCATTAAGATTTTAAAGTTATTCTATACACTTTATTTCAAAAAGAAATAGAACATAATCAAATAGTGGAGGCCTTAGATAAATCTCACCTATAACCCTACCCCACTCTATGAAAACTACTCATCATCTACTCAAACCACCATTACTATTTTTATGTATCTTCTGTATTATAATTCCTTTTATATAGTAGTAATCATAGCATACATCCAATTTTGGGTTCCATTATTGTGTTTCCCTGTGTTGCCACTCTGTCTTTCCAATCACAATTTCATGTAACTCAACACTCACTGACTGACCTAAACTTTGGGGCAGCACTTGATGTGGACTGGAAGTAAGAGTCACAGGTGAGTCCTGGCCTTAAGAAGCTTCAATTTTGAGTAGAAGAGACAAATAGACAATTATTTTATAAATGTAAGAAATCCTGCTTTATCTAAGGATAACTAGTATCAGGGAAAACAAAACCAAAAAAAAAAAAAAAGATAATCCCCACACTACCACCACTACTGTACTAGGGCTTGTGCACAGAGCTACACCCTCAGCCCTTTTAAAATTTTTAAACTAAGATCTTCACTAAGTCACCAAGTTGCCTAGGCTGAACTCAAATCTGAGGTCCTATTGCCTCAGCCCTCAGGAATGCTGGGAATAAATAAATTAATTAATTAATTTCCCCCCTTGGGAGACAGGGCCTCACTATGTAGTTCAGGCTGGCCTCAAACTCATGGCAATCCTGTCACAGCCTCCCGAGTGCTAGAATCACAGAAGTGAGCCAACACACCCAACTGGGATGGTATTTATAGTAAGACAACTTTCTTGGATTCAATATCCCCAAAGGGGAAAAAAATAGACTCATGCAGCCGCATGAACAGGATACTGCACAGTATAACAAGCCGCACCCTATGGGAAAATACAACACATTACACAACTTCAGAAGGGGCAGAAAATCTTCAGAGGTGGAATAGGTGAAATTAAGATAGGCTCTGCCAGAGACATCGTTTGACTATAAGTTAGATGAAGAAGGTAAGAAAGTTACTTCAACCCGATGTTCAGTGACAAGAGCAGTCTTTAAAAAGTAAATTCAGGATCGTAAGGACCTAAGAATCTGGAGATGTGGGCAGAATTCAGACTTCAATGGACACTGTAAACCATCCTAAAACATATGACTTTCACCCTCAGGAAAGCAGGGCATCTTTTAAGAATTTTAGAAAAGGGGGTGCCAGGGATTTAGCTCACTAGTGGTGCTACCACCTGCCTCGCAAGCACAGGCTCCTGAGTTTGATCCCTGGTACCAAAAAACAAACAAACAATTTCAGAAAAGGAGATGATAGCAGACTGAGTGCTCTGTGAAATGGTTCTTCAAGATAGAGGCTGCACCATCTTGCTAAGCACTGTCGTCTCAGCCCTTGGCTTTTCTTAACTTTATTCTCGTAAATAATATGCAATAAGCACCAAAAGTTATTTTTTCTCAAAACTGTTAATAATCCAAGTATTTTTGTCTGTTTGTTTGTTTTGGTACTGGAGATTAAACTCAGGACCTTGTGCTTGCAAGGCAGGCTGTGGAGACACTGTGCCAAATCTCCAGCCCTCAAAACTGTTAAAACAAAGTATCATATCACAAAGTGCAACTTGAAAAAAAGGGTGGCCCTATACCATCTGTGGAATCATCCTACTCTTCAGTGATTCACAATGCTGCCTTTAGTGTGTTTACATTTTTGTCTTAAAAGAGCCAATCAGAACTTACTCCAATAAAATGCATTTCCACAAGTTTTAAAAGTGAAAAAAAAGGAGCTGGGGATTTAGCTCAGTGATGCCATGCCTGCCTCGCAAGCGCAAGGTCCTGAGCTCAATCCATAGTACCTTCTACCCCTCAAAAAAGTGAATAAAGAGGGCTACTCTATTCCAGGTATCTATCCATTTATTTTTGAATCAGTTTCATCATAATATAATTGTTACAGTTCTGCAACAGTTTTTTCTAGTCAATACTCATAATTCAGAAGCATTTAGAAATAGAATTATCTATAGCCACTGATTTAAGAATATACTGGTGATAGGGGATAGGATAAATTAGAAACTTGGTTCTTCTAGAAGCACCTTGGAGAAGAATAAGGAAGAAAGAACTAAGAGCATAAGTCAAATTAATGGATTATACAATTAGCCTAAAGAAAGAATGCAGTACTTATAAATACTAAAAACAAAGAGTAAAGTTTATTGAAGTCATGGCGACTCACCCGTTTCTCTCCATATATCAATAAGCACATGGACAGCAAGGAGACAGTAATAGTCAGAAAACTGCAATTCTGTTTTCAAACAGGATTTCCCTATGGGGGGGAAACACCACATCATATTTTTAATATTTGTTCAGGTATTACTGCCCTCAAAGGAGTTTTTAAAGCAGAAAAGAGAGAGGGAAGAAGAGAGAAAGAAAAAAGTAAGAATTGCATTAAGTACCAGAACAAAAATATAAGGCATAAATCAAAGTGATCAAAAGAAGGGAGCTTGGGCTGGGGATTTAGCTCAGTGGTTCTGTCGCCTGCCTTGCAAGCGCAAGGACCTGAGTTTGATCCCCGGTACCAAAAAAAAAAGAGAAGGCAAGCTCATGCACAGCTGGAACAGAAGGAAGGATTCCTGACAGAATGGATCCATGACAGTCCCAAGGAAAAGATATAGGAGGTCTCAGAGGATAAACCAAGGGCTATGTATAACTAAGTTAATATTATATTGCTTACTATACCTAATTTTTTGGAATATAGTTGGAAAATACTGACACCTCATACTCAATTTATATTTCTATCCCATAGATCTAGCAAACGCCAAGACAATCAACCTGAAAATCAGCTACTTCTAAATTGTTTATCTTAACAATCTACAGTATCCCTTTGCTTCATTTGCATACATTAAGAATATTAACTCTTATAGGCAGAAGGTGATAATTATCATAAGCTATGCAACTCATGGAATCCAGTGTAACAGTTAGTTCATCTGATTAGAAAGAATCTGGACAACTTGAATTACTTAAACTCCAAGTTTACAAAAGTCTTTGCATGTTACTACTTAGAGGGTGTTTCAAACTGTCATTAAAACAAGAGTGGGCTGGGGATGTACCTCAGTGACAACTCGCCTGCCTGGCAATTGCAAGGTCCTGGCTTCGATCCCCGGTTTGGGGTTGGGGAAACACAAGGGTGCTATAGGTACATTAAAAACTGACTTCTAAGTCTTAGTAGCTCAGGAAACTTGAACATTTTGAAAAGTTGCTCACCAAATTCCAGGCCATGCTGGTACCTTAACATCAATTCTCTGACGACGCTCAATTTCTGCTCTTTATCCATGATGTGGTACAAGCCAAGTAACCTCGTCAGCTGTACCACACACAAATGTTGCTGCAGAGCTCGGATATCAGCAGGCAGCGCCAGCTTATCTTCTGTTGGTGTTGACAAAGGAACAACTCCAAGTAACTGATTAATGAACTGCAAAATGGGGAAAAAAAGAAATACGGGTCTCAAAATTCAACTAATCTTCAGTAGCAAACTTCAGGCCATCAATCTGAGAATCAGCCACCATTTTTTTTTTTTTTTTTTGTACTGGGGATTGAACTCAGGACCTTGCGCTTGCGAAGCAGTGGCAGCATAACCACTGAGCTAAATCCCCAGCCACTTCTAAATTAAATGATTAACAGCAATTGAAGGTGGGCATGGTGGCACATGCCTGTAATCCCAGAACTTGGAAGGCTGAGGCAGGAGGATCGCCAGGAGTTTGAGGCTAGCCTGAACTACATAGTGAGACCCTGTCTCAAAAAAAAGGTGGAGGGTAAGAAGGGGAAAGCAGGGATTTAGCTCAACAGCACTGTGCCTGCCTCGCAAGCCCAAGGTCCTGAGTTCGATGCCAGTACCCCCCCAAATTGAAATGGTCTAGAACGATATCAGAGAAAAAAATTCCCTTAGTTTACCATTTTCTATGTACTATAGCTTAAAAAGATTTTTGAGACAGTATATAATGCTTGTGAAACTCAAATGAAACTGATACACTCACTGATGCCAATGTATTTTTGTCAATACCATGTACTACAGGCACTAAAAGACTTTTAAAATTATTTTAAATTACCATATTAACATATTGTAGCAATGTGAAGTTTTAATTAGGAAGACTATACAAAAAGTAGAATGCCAAAAAATTTAAACCTACAACTATATTGACTTACAGATAATATTTTTCCATTAAGTTTATTGGTATACAATAGGTACTTTCATCATTAGGATCCTGTAACTTTACATGATATAATTTGATACTTATTTTTTTTCCCATTCCCTTGCCCTCCCTTCCCTATTTTCTTTTTTTTTCTTTTTTGGTACGGGGATCGAACTCGGGTCCTTGCGCATGCGAGGCAGGCAGCAGAACCCCTGAGCTAAATCCCCAGCCCCCTCCCTTCCCTATTTACAAAGACTTTGTTTCCAAGTTTTTCCTTTTCTCATATTTTTCCTTTCCCTTCTTTCCTTTACCCTACAAATAAATCCTTAAAAGAAAGGTTATACACTGAAAGGAATGGTTATTGTGTCAATGGCCTTTCTAAAAACTTTCATTTTGAGGTAATTATAGATTCACACTCAATTACAAGAAATAACACAGAGGCTAGGTGTGATGGTGCACGCCTATAATTCCAGCACTCAGGAAGCTAAATTAGGATTGTTGAGTTTGAGGTCAGCCTAGGCTACATAGTGAGCTCAAGGCCAGACTAAACTACATAGTGAGACCCTGTCTCAAAACACAAAACAAAACAAACTAGGCCACATGTAAATTACAATATACAGGTATCAGAAGACTAAAATATAGGTTTGCAAATAGGAGGCACCATGAAACAGCAAGCCTATTCCAGTCACAGGAGCTTGGAAAACACAGATTTTTGTCCACAGAAACTTGAAGATTCAGAAGGTGCCGAAAACACTAAAATAAAATTTGGTAAATTTGTTCTAAAAAGTTGATCCCTTCCCCAAGCTCACAGACCGACTTCCTAGATATGAGCAGAAACCTGGGGTTTTATACATATGAGAAGCTGAATCAAAGAAGCTATATTTAGGGAGAGTAAAAGAAATCAAACTTGGGGACAACATAGCTAAAAGTAAGGATAAGGAAAAATTGGCTTTTCTTTTTTTGGTTTTTTTGAGATCACTATGTAGTTGAGACTGACCTGGAACTCACTATGTAGCCCATGCTAGTCTCAAACTCACAGCGATCCTCCTGCCTCAGCCTCCCAAGTACTGGGATTATAGGCGAGTGCCACCATGCCTGGCTTTTAATTTTTATTTATTTACTTTTTGGTACCCAGGATCGAACTCGGGACCCTGCACTTTTGAGGCAGGCAGTGGAACCACAGAGCTAAATCCCTGGAGAAAATTGGCTTTTCAATTACAGCACCAGCTCCCAACCTGATCCCAGAATGCTGTTAGCCAAAAGTTTAAGTCCCCAACAGAGTGGCAAATGGACATTCTATGGAAAACATTTCTAAGGTGGGGTAAGGAGATGAAGCAAATGGAGCCTCATTTTCAGACCATACTAGGAGTGTGTACTTTTCATGTTCTGTGAGACCAGTGGTGGCAAACCTATGGCTGTAGCAAGCTGTTTGTAGCACTGAAAGCTCTCAAAGTTTCACCACTGCTAGTAATTACAGCTGATGGAATAAAAAAAAAAAAAAAAAAAAAAAAATTTTTTTTTAACTCAAAGAGAAAGCCAGGCATGGTGGTGCATGCCTATAATCCTAGCTCTCAGAAGGCTGAGGCAAGAGGACTGCCATGAGTTCAAGGCCAGTCTGAACTACATAGAGAGACACTGTCTCAGAGACAGAAAGCTAAAAAGGTAATCAATTTCATTTAACATTATGGTCTCACTTAACATTATGCTTTTATCTTCACTTTTAGCTATGCTTGTTGCCCCCAACTCTTGATTTTCTTTTTTTACTGTCCTACAAATGACTCAAGTTTATCTTTCTTTATGGCAGAGAAATACTCCATTCTATATAAGACCATATTTCTTTATACGTTCATCTGTTGATAGGCACTTGTAAGATGTAGTATGAATCGTGCTGCTAGAAACAAGAGTAGCATATATTACTGTAATATGATGTCTTTAACTCTTTAGGGAAGATACCTAGAAGAGGAATAGATGGATCAAGTGAATTCCTAGTTTTTCTTTTTTAAAGAATCTCCAGAGCAGGGCGTGGTGGCGCATGCCTGTAATCCCAGCACTTGGGAGGCTGAGGCAGGAGGATCACTGAATTCGACCAGCCTGGGCTACATAGTGAGTTCCAGGTCAGTCTCATCTACACAGTGAGACCCTGTCTCAAAAAACAAAAATAAAGAAAGAATCTCCATATTGATTTACATAGTGGTTGTACTACTTTATATTCACACCAACAATGTAAAAGGGTTCCTTTTTGCCCACTAATAGGAAGAAAACGAAAGAAAAAAGAAAGGAAGAAACTTCCATAAACTCCACAATAGTACACCAACAGATGAAGATTGTAACTATAAAAATAAATTACTACATATTAGCCTATAATTTAGAAATACAGAAGTAAATAATAGAAGAGTTAAAAATTGAAAGTGATTTGTATCTGTCCAGTAGGAACAAAGAGTAGCTGTTGTCAAAACAAGCTTTCTGATTCTATTTGATTTTTCTAATATGATACATAAAATTTTATGATACAAACAGAAACTAAAATCCCACTGGCCATGCAGTTTCACATCTGTAATTATTTTTCTTCAATATGTCTAAAATGTATTAATTTTAATTGAGATCAGATGTATAATGCCTATTTGTAGCAAACTATAGTACTGGTTTTCATGCTTTTGATCACAAGCCTCTGTTGTTCCTACCCGCAGCTCAGCCATTCTTGGAAGCCATTTTATGTATTAGTTTGCTGGCCATTAATGCCTTCTTTAGTAAACACTATAAAGATTTCCAAATAAATTTTATTATGAAATAACAGGTACACTCTTTAGTCTGTTCATTTTTTCTGATGTGCAAAAAGCTTCTTTAAAAACTAGCACCATTTTACGATTTAGCTAAAAATCCCAAAGCAAAGAAAACAAAAAATTAAAATACCACACTGGATGAGCCATTTCAGGATAACTGAATTCAAAGGCCCTCTCTTAACAGCTAACCACACTTTATTTTTGTTTTTTTATTGATAAAAAAACAAAAGTTTAATAGTCAATGAAGGGGTAACAGCAACTTATATTAATTTTCAAGAAAATTAGAAACAAAAAGGCTACTAAGGGTATTTAGCTCAGAGGTGCCGCCACCTGCCTCACAAGCACAGGTCCTGAGTTCGATCACTGGTACCAAAAAACAAACAAACAAACAACAAAACAACAAAAATGATAAACATTTAACAACTAAAATGTACTTAACATCCTAAATAAAAATATTAAAGATAAAAGGGCTTTGAAATTTTTTCCAACAATTTATCTTATAAAATCGATTTCTAAATAGCTCATATCCTTTTTGCTTTGGTGTTTAGTTTGCTATCAACTAGACATTAATATAGTAGATGGCTAACCATACTTTAGAAAGGTCTGACACATGATTCATTAGGACAGCAGTTCTCAGCTTGAACCTATTTGGATAGTCTGCAATCTTCCTACAGACACTTGCTGAGTGGTGAAATTTTTAGCTACTGAAGTCATTCACTAAAAAGTTAAAAGTTGTGGCAGCAAAATAACTCTTCTCAATTAAAATTTATACCATCACCTGCCTTGCAAGCACAAAGTCCCCGAGTTCGATCCCCGTACCAAAAGAAAAAACAAAAAACATTTACACAGAACAAGACTACAAAAGTCACTGCAACAGCTTTAAATTCTTAATCTCAACGTGCCACCAGTACCGCCCCACAGAAAGGTACCATCAGCTGCCGTGACCCTTGGGCTCTGTGCTGACCCCCCACACAACCCAGGTACGGATGCCCAGGCCACTGTGAGGGGCAAGGAAAAGTCAGGGTTGAATCCCCACTGTGCCAGGGCCTCTGTCCCTGAAGAAATGAGTGGTGGCTTGGCTCCAAGTAAGAGCAGAGTGTATGTGTCCAACTTGCCCTTCTCCATTAAAAAAAAACAACTTATATCAGATATTTTCCAAGTATGGCAAAGTTGTAAAGTTGTAAAGGTTACTATAATGAAAGACAACGATAAGAGGAAGAATAAAGGGGTTGCATTTATATTATTTTTGGACAAATACTCTGCACAAAACTGTACCAGAGCCATAAACAACAAACAGTTGTTTGGTAGAGTGATAAAGACAAGCATTGCTATTGACAGTGGGAGAGCAGCGGAATTCATCTAAGGAGAAACTACCTTGATAAATCACAGTGTAACCAATGTGGGGAAAGCAACAGTTAAGTTATGCCTGTCTGAAGAATATGCTTAGAGAACGTGAGCCTCCTAAGAAGAAAGAACAAAGGAAAAAGAGAAAATTGCTGAAC